ATCTAGGCCCTAATCCACCCCAAATTTAAAAAATTCCGTGTAAAAAAATTCTAAAATATTCTTTGTATCGTCCACATTTGTTAGTGTATTTTAAAAAGTGAATCACTTCTATGTTAGTCAAATGCCCGCACTTTCTCTACATAGCGATGCACATTCAGCATTTTATTTTTAAAAACAATTGCTAATGTTTACACTTTTGTCATCATATCGCACTTAAAATTGATCTGATTCACTTATTTTCTCATTTTAATAGCTAAAATTAGAATAAATTTCACTTTTGGTCCTACAAGTTTTAGGTGATTTCCACAATTAGTCCGCATCTTTCACTTTGTTCACTTTTGGTATATGACTATTTTATTTTTGCCCATATATGGTCCTTCCGGCATTGTTTCCGATGGTTAAAATCGCCCGAAAAGGACCACAAACGATTAAAAAACATTAGTCAAGTATCAAAAGTGGATAAAGTGAAAGACGTGGAGTAAAAGGTGGAATTGACACAAAACTCGTAGGACTAAAAGTGGAATTAATTAGCTAAAATTATTTTACATTTTCATGTGAGGAGTACTTTATTTAAACCTTCCTTTATGTTTATATATGTATATAAAAACGTATATGCATACATGTATGCATAACAGCATAAGTATATAAAAATGTATATCTATAAATAAGTACAATTATACTAAGAGGCTGTTTGGAACCATTGTTTTTCGGCTTATCAGGCTTATCAGCCAACTTTTTCATCAAACACGTAACTTTTGCTTTCGCGCGCTGAATTGTGTAATAGGCAGAAAATGTAAGGTTGAAGTTACTTTTCTGGCTGTTTTGGCTGAAATTACTGTAGATGATCATTTTAACTATTTTTACATATAATTTTTTCTTTATTTTATTAATAAAATATATTTTAAAAATAGTTTTTTCTTAAATCAGCAGAATCAGCCAATGCAGCTAGAACTTCATAAATTTCAGCAGAATCAGCCAAACCAGCCGATTTTCGTGCTACCAAACAGGCTCTAATATGGATATAGTATAAAAACACGTGTTGACATACATTGGGTATTAAGAAATCAATATAAAATAATTAAGACCGCATGAAAGAAAAACTGGAAAAAATAAATAAAATAGAAAAGAATTAGAAATCTAAATATTTTTTGTTTGGATCGATTAAAGTTGATCATCATCCATATCAATAAACATTGAAAGCCAGTGAAAGCAAACGGAGTTAAGTATTTAGGTGAGTGGATGGGTGTTATGCCCCAAAAGCTTAACTATTGATTTATTTGCTCTAATGTGTTTCTCTATCCAAACCTTAGTGGTCAATATGCCCCTTCTCCCTTGCCTATTTTTACTTTATGATTTACTCCGTAGAATTTTTAGATAAACTTTGAAGAAATAATTCAAAATTTATAGCTAAAATTAAGACGGTTTATAAATATGTTATTAGTGATTAGAATCCTATCCTATATCCTAGGGAAATTTATCGAGATATGACTAAAACTTAATGAGTTTCTCAATCTATGACCTAACTAGTTTTTATACCTTTGTATGACCAAAAATCTAAAAGCAAATAGAAAATTCGTTTATATTTAAATGTTGAATGACAAAAATACCCTTATTTAAAATATGTGCATTTTGCACTAATTTCGTCCAATTAAAATTACTGCACTTTATATTGCCATTAATGCACAAAATTAATGCATGACTTTACTGCACGACATTACTGCACATCCGGTAATAATCACTGCATTTGCGCCAAAATCAGTTCTATTCTCATTGACTTTAGGAATTTATTTATAGTTTTTTATTTTATTTTTTTGGTCTAAATTTTTTATCACTTTATGATAAATTGCATTTCATGGTCATTACTACTATGTGTTACTGCATTATTGGTCATAATCATTGCACAACAAACTTTCTTAATGCACTCTTTCACTGCCAGGTATAAATACCTATTGTCATACTCACTGCCCATGTTCATCCATATTTATTTCCGTGTTCACTATCCAATCTCAATGCTCATATTCACCGCACCGTTTGACTGCTCATGTCAATGGACCTTTATCTCAAAAAATAAAATGTAAAAAGAAGTATTTGTGCATGTAATTTCAAACCCAGAGTTGCCAATCAAGCAAATCTCATCGATGGGGCTCCAGATCAGCGCTCCCAGCCTGGCTTTTGTGGAAGGAATGAAGAGAATCTCATCCATGGAGATCTAGATCGGCTCTCTCAGGCTTGGCGTCTGAGGAAGGAATGGAGCGAATCTCATCCGATCCATGGGGCTCCAGATCGGCGCTCCCCAGGTATGGCGTCTGCAGAAGGAATGGAGCAAATTTCATCCATTGGGCTTCAGATTGACGCTCCCCAGTCCGGACGTCTGTGGAGGCGGCGCGACGGGACTTGGGCGGAGGTTTTCGGGCGAGCAACGGCCAACGACGACGCCATTGCACTAGGTCAGACGGACGGCTTCTCAACTAGCCTACACAGGTTATGGGCTGGCGACTTTGCTCTGGCGAAGGCATGGCTGTGTGGCGAGCGGAGGCGTGGTTGTAGGTCGGACGGCAGCGACACTGTACATCAAACGGCGGCGGCGCTGTTGATCGGATGTCGGCGGCGTTGTACATCAGACGGCAGCATTGGTGGAGATCTGTACACTGGGATGTGGCTATAAGATTTGGGGTTAAAAGCTTTTGGGTTTTTAGGCTTTTATAATAATAGTCTAGGGGCATATTAGTCAATAGTCATAATAAATAATTTATTTAATCATACTCCACCAATCTGTACACAGGGATGCCATCATACTCCCTACACCTTTCTCTCTGACAATACTATTTCGTTTTTTCAGTTTCTTTCTCAAATTTACTCTACCTGTAGTGAAAATTGGGGCATTAATGGAGCTCTGCTGTCTCAACCGTCCATCTCCATCTGCTCTTCACTTCTCTTCTCCTCTTCACCCGGATGCCGGCTCCAATTCAACCGGCACCGACAAACGCCTCCTGTGATTTCTCTGCCTTCTCTTATCTTCTTTGGCCGAATGTCCGCCCCAAAATAAGGCTAACACTCACTATTCCCGCTGTCAGCCTAATTTCCTTTTGTTTTCTGATTAGGTTATATAACTTATTCCAAATCAGTTTTGTGGTATCGGTCTCACTCACACATCGTAAATACAAATGAGAAGTTTATATGGTACTGGGGGTAACTATCTTTTTCCAATCTGAGAGCAAACAAACATTTACACATACACTTTCAAACGTGATAGAGGAAACATGTGAATGTATTTGCTCCCAGGCGTTTCTCTCTTTTCTTTCCTGATATTCTTCCATTTTTTCAATTTCTTTTTCAATTTGATGTTAGCTGCAGTGAAAAAAATGATTGCTTATTCTTTAACTGGATCTTTAAGTCCACTTACTTTTCACAAAAAGTCAATTGAGTCCATGTACATTTTTGTGAGTCAATTAAGTCCATCAAGTATAAAAAAAAACAATCAAATAAGCTTATTCATAGGTAATAAACCGGTTACCCGGTTAACTCCTACGTGGCTGTCCTAGTTGGCGTTTTTTTTTTACTGTTTTCTATTTTTTTAAGTTTCTTTTCTTGTTCTTTTTCCTTTTTCCTTTTTTCTTTTCCCTCTTCCTTTTTTCCCTTTCTTTCTCGTTCTTCCTTGTCCGCTGTTTTCTGTCTTTACCCGTCCCCTGCTCCTTTTTGTCTACTTCTTCCAACCTCCGGCCACCACTTTCATCTCCTCCATTGGAGCGGTGCCCCGACCTCCATAACCACCATCTCCGTGTGCGGCCTCCACCTCCGCCGCCCTACTTCCCACCACACCGCCTTTGGCCACCACATCTGCGGCCTCCGCCTCCGGCCACCACATCTGCGGCCTCCACCTCCTCCTCATCCATTATGGTGACCTCCAACCGTCCCCACATCCATAGCCACCCACCTCCGCATGCGGCCTCCACCTCCTCCGCCCCAACCTCCATACAAATACCTTCGACCACCACCTTTGCGTCATCTATCTCCGCCTCTTCGATTGGAATGACCTCCAATCACCCCGACCTTCATCGATCTTCGCCGCCACATCCATTGGATCAACCTCCAATCGTCCGCCCTTCGTCTCCGCCGCCCCTGCCTCTATAAGTACAGGATCCGCCGTCTCTTCACTACAAAAAAACACGGAGTTAGTCACGGATTTAGTCACGGATCATAGTGTAAAAAATCCGTGACTAACTCCTTTAGTCACGGACTTTGTCACGGCCAAAATCCGAGACTTCTCAGGCGTGACTAACTTTAGTCACGGACCATTATCCGTGACTACGTGTAGTCACGGACTAGTTGATCGGTGTATTTTTTTAGTGAGTTAAAACGTAGTTGGCTAATCCGAAGAATAACCAGACCACGAGTATCGTCTCTCAAGGAGTGGCAAAAAGGAAGTTTTAAATACAGTCCGTGATCACAGGCTAGCACAAGTCATGGTAATCTTTCCAAATAATTATTTTTGGGTGATAAAATAAAATAAAAAAACTAACTAACAACGAGTGCAAAAATAAGTAGAGGAAGAAAAATTAAATTAAATTGATTCTAGATAGTAAAACAGGGTTCAAATTGGATGGTTCGGGTTCTGGGTGTTTTTTCGGGATTGGAATTAAGTAAATTAACTTTCAATTATTCCTGGAAAGAAAATGAAATAAATTCTCATAGACAAGGTTTAAATCAATATTTCACAATCCTAACTTATTTCTAAGGTCAGATTGCTTGTATAAGACCTGAGCTAATTTAACTCAATTTCTCATAGACAAGAATTGAATTAAATCCAGAAATTCATATATGAGGTGATCAAATTCATATAGACAATTATGATTAATCTTATACAATTATCCAGAAAATTAATTGATAAAAAAAACTAAATTCACACCCTCAAGAACCCATGAACCCTAGCCCCAATTCAAACCCTATATGAAATTAGCTATTCATGATTAAAATTAACATCACAATAAACATATGTGGAGCTAGAAACAAAAAACTGGATTACGAGTATTTAATAGTAAAAAAAACTGAAATTACTAGATGGAGACTACCAATTCAAAATTCAATCCAAAACAGAAAACAAGTAATGTAAAATATGCAGGAACTTACAATCATTACTTAGAATGTAAATTGAATTGAAAGAATTGAGGGAAAATGACGTTTAGGCATTCCTGGTCTCTTGCTTTCTGCTGCGGCTGATTGTCAAAGAAAAGGAAGAAAAGTTGCTTCTTGGTCTCTAACTTCTGCTTGCTGCGATTGGTTCAGAAACAAACAGAAAGAATTCCTTCCCTGCGGCTGCTTGTAACTAAAATGAACAGAGAAGAAAACCTGGTGCAGCTAATCTGGTGTGCTTCGAATGAATAGAATTGATCTGCGGCAAGGTGAGCAGGAAGGGAAAAAAAACGAAGTCCTCAGCTGGGGTTAATTTTTGAAGTGAAAAGAATGGATGAACCTCCTTGGTTTGGGCTGCTTTTCTCTCTTTTTGGACTGCTGAAAGTTGCTGCAGTTTTTTTTTTCTCTTTGGGCTGTTTGCCAAATAAATCTTAACAAGATGTCAAAATGCCCGATCCAAATAAAATGTGTTATTCACAACAAATTCGGCCTATAAAATCACAACTCACCACAACCGCTAATCATATGCATTTTTACAATCAAATTACTCCAAAAATATCAAATTGTGTGGAAAACTACTAAACTGAAAATGAATGCCACCGGGACCGAAAAATAACAAATTTTCATTCAAAACCCCCAATAGTCACCCGATTAATTATAAAAATTAGACAATTAACACCCAAAATATGGGTGAAAAGATAGGAACGGAACGAGCCTATCAAATCTCCCCACACTTGAGCGTTGCTTGCCCCCAAGCAACAGTGCATTAAACCCACGGAAAACCAAATAATCACATGTAATACCTGGTTCAAAAATCATTCACACCCAAAACAAATGGCTGCACAAGGTCTTTTCTTTCTTAACAACGAAACCAAGATGTTAGAGATATTTTTAGTGTTGTGATCAATGTATTTTATCTAGCCTCTTGGTAGTATTTATTGTGTATTTAATAGGCCTTAAATGGAAAAGGCTACTAAGCTAAATTAGGAATGGGCCTCCTAAAAAGGAGAGCCCATATCATTGTAAAACCTACCATTCTAAGGAGGCTATAAATAGACCCCTTAGGAATGGCTAGGTTAAGCTTTCCTCCCTTAGAAAAATTCCCTGCGCATAGAATAGAGAGCCTACGGAAGTTTTACGCTACATGTTCTTCATCTTTATGTAAACTTTCTGGCTATCAATGGAAAGCTTCTTCTACTCCTATTAATCAGATCTTATACATTATAGAGTAGAAATTGGGACCAACAATTGGTATCAGAGCCGAGCGTGTGACCGATTGAAGTTTCTGCAAGTTTATCGATCGATTGAAGACAGAAGAAAACTCTCGCGCGAAACTCATCGACGAAGTTTTTGCTTGTTGAGCGATCTTCTGTTCTATTTTTGTTGTTATTTTTGCAGGAAAATGTTTACAGGAAAGTGTTTCTAAGATTGCAAGGATTCATTCTGTGAAAAATCGCATCCAGAACTTTGGCGTACAGGTTAAGCAGGAGTTGAGCGATCCTGCATCTTCGCGCATCTTTTTCAGGAGTTGAGCGATTCTGAAAAATCGCGCAATTGTACTTGAGCGATTTAGGCCTTGAGCGATATTTCCCTTGCGCGATCTGGTGCACTTTTGCGCGATTTCCGCTTTGCGCGAAACGAGGTGCGTGATCGCCAAGTTGCGTGAAAACTTGGAAGTCGAGCGAAAGTCTCCCGTACTGGTTTCAACCTTGCGCGAAACAGGTCCCCGAGAGTTCTTTTGCGCGATTTTATTTGCTGTGCGCGATTTTCTTTAGGTGCCCGAATCAGTGTTGCGCGAAACGACTATCTTTGCGCGTTTTTAACTTGCGGTTCAGGTTTTTAACTTGCGCTTCAGGTACTCAGTTGCGCGATCTGTACTATCTTGCGCGATTCAGGTACTCAGTTGCGCGAACCGAGTTGAGTTGCGCGGTTCTCCTGTTTGTGGACAAAAGTTCTTTGCCCAGTTGACTAAATCACGTTTTCACAAAAAAAAAAAAGGAGGGGAAAAACCGTCATTTGAGACCCGGCGAATTTTGCGACTATCGTGTCCGCAGGTCGCCCGCGCAGGGGGGTGCGAATTTTTGCTTTTGAACTACAAGCCGAAATCCCATGTGCGCGAGAGCTCCTCTCTTTTCCTTCACCATTTAATCTTAAGGAGGGAGTGCTCCATATAAATAGGCTCAAAAGTTTCCAAAGAGTTTAGGTGTGGGATAAGTTAACTAGCTTACTTTTCCCTTCACTTGGACAAGTACATTTTTTCCCCCAAAACCCACTTCAAGTGCAAATTTTTAGCCCATCTTCAAACCTTGAGGTCAAACTCCAAAACCAAAGCTCAACACTTTTTCAAAGCTTCAAATAGTCAACCTTGAGATTTAAAAAAAAAAAAAAAAATTATTAAGTAAAAAAAAAAAATCTCAAGGTTAAGACTAAATTTTCTCAAAATCAAAGCTACATTTCAAGAGTCACAAACTTGCAGAAATCTTCAATCATTCACACGTCAACGATCAATTTTCTTCAGTCAATCATGAGCACTCCCAATATTGCTGATAAAGTGACTGCCCTCTCTGCTCAAAACAAGAATGCAGACAACGCTGTAACTACCTCTAATTCTTCTGTTTATACTTGTTGTTGCTCAAAAACCGACACAAATGATAAATTTAAGGAGCTAGAGGTGAAGTACACTAGATTGTATGATGTCTATAATCAACTGCGTGAAAAACAGACTTGCTCAAACATTAAAATAACCAATTCAGAGAAAACAATCACCAAGCTCACTACTGAGAATAAACGTCTCAGTTCTAGTGAAAAAGAGCTGACAGAGAAGCTTAGGAAAACTGAGAAGGAGAGAATTAGACTGTTTGGTGTCAATAATTTACTTATGGAAAGAAGGGGTGCTCTTTACACTAAAATTAAAGAACTCGAAGACCTGTTAGCCAAGAGGGACCAAACAGACCAGACTATTTTCCTTAACCAGCCTAAGGACACTCGTTTCTATAACGCCAAGGAGGGCCTGGGTTTGACCAATCCTCAGAACCTGAAAAAGGTCAATTGTAGACAACTCTATGATGTTAGATACATGAAAATAGGACTGACCAAACTCATGGCCTTCACTGGAGCTGAAGAAACGAATGCCCTCGAGGACGAAAAGAGAAAGACAAAGGCTGGTGTCGAGGTTCCTTTTGACTACACAGAGTTGAACAAGAGTTACAAAACCAAAGAACCCCCGCTAACACCTGCTGATGAAGTCATAACTTATGCTCCTGAAAAGGAAACTGTGCAAGATGGAGAGGAACCTTCAACTTCAGAACCTGTAGTCAAACCAGCATACATTCCACCTCTTGTGAGAAAGTTTGCTGAGTTAAAAGAATCTTTTGAAAAGGAGAAACAGGTTTTAGAAAAAGAAAAAGATCAACTTTTGAAAGAAATATCCATGTTAAAAACATCCTCTCAGTCCATCACAGTTTCTCAACCCTCTTCCCTTTCTTTCTCAGAAAAATGTTTAGAAATTTCAATCAACAGTTCTAAAACTTCTTCCACTCACTCTGAGCCTCCTTCTCAGACCGGAAACCATGTGAAGAAGAGAGTTGAGAAGAGAGGAGAGTGGATTCAGGAGAAATTGAGAAGAAAGAAGAAAGAAGAAGAGTCTCATCTAGGAAATAAGAACCAGCGATCAAGTGCTATGTTTTATGCCAAAAACAAGTCTAGATCTAACATTAGTGAGCCTTCCACTAGTAATACTAGAAGTGTTGTTCCTGGGAATTTCCTAAGCGAACCCTCGACTAGTCATGCTAAAAGAGCGGCTCCTAAGTTTTCTAGTTCTAAGACATCTGTCATGAATCGTTGTTCTAAATGTGTTTCTCTGAATTGCATTAAATCCATGAAATGTTGGTTTGAGTCTGATTCCTCATCAAACAAAGACAAGAATGTGAACGTTCAGAGATGCCCAAAGAAATCAACTTCTGTGAAAGTGAACGTTGAGGGGGAGTACAGATTACCATGTTTAAGGTATCCCCTCAAGGTTCGTTCACTCAAACATTTGAGAAGGCTCTCTCAGGAAACAATTTTAAAAGATCATCTGTCTGAACATTCACTCACTGTTAACGAAATCTCTCTCGCTCCAAAGTTCAAACAACAATGGGTTCCTAAGGCCAAAGCTGAGAAACTAAGAACGTCAAATCCTTCTCAATCAGCTGGCTTAGGTTCCCACATCAAACAAAAATTAAAACAGCTCTTCACCACTAATAAGGATGGACCCATCTGGAGGTGGGTACCAAAACACACTTAATCTGTTTTGCAGGGCCGTCATGTGTGGTACCTGATCCGATTGCTCCACACACATGGCGGATATGACGAGCTGTGAGCAACCAACTGGTGCACATTATTAAGGGGAGTATTGGCATGTATACTACCCCACTGAGCAGAAAATCAACAAATGCACACCCCAACACCAACGCATGCCAAGAAGAAACAACAAGTGCATATTTTGAGGGGGAGTGTTTCTTTTTCACTCCTCCTGGTGCATTACAACGAAGAAAGCACATATCAAGGGGGAGTTTTCTACTTTACTCCCGGGTGACAAATAACACCTTGCACATTCTGAGGGGGAGTTACATTTTTCTCCTCCTGACACCAATCAAGGATCAATGCAAGACAACCCAAGGATGTTATGACAGAACTAGTACCAATCAGGACCGTCTACAGGATCCAGAACTTGTACCCATCAAGGAGAACAACTCGGAGTTGGAACCAAAGGCCTTATCCTGCCATGATAATGTCGTGGTGGCTGTTTTGACAAGGCATAAAATTTAGAAGACACTGAACAAAAACTACCGAAGCACCAGAGGTGTATCTCTAACAATTCTGGAGAACACTCAACTAAGCAAGAAATGCCTCTGGTGCGAGAATTCTGAAAGCCACCATTGACGACACCAAGGTGACCAACACCAAAGAGTTCATGCATCAAGTGCTTTAAACTCAAGAATTGATAATGGGACAGAGTTCAAAAACAAGGAGCTGACCGAGTTCTACGAAGATCGGGGAATTACACAACAGTTCTTTGCAGCTAAAACACCATAGCAAAACGGTGTTGTAGAACGATGGAACAAGACCTTGGTGGAAGCAGTCAGAACCATACTGATACAGTCAAAGCTTCCTCATTTCATGTGGGTTGAAGCTATCAACACGGCTTGCTTCACAAAGAACTGGATGGTGATTCACAGACGATTTGACAAGACACGCGATGAGATTGTGTTCAAGCAACTCCCTGACATTGCCTTCTTCCGTGTCTTTGACTACAAGTGCTACATTATGAATGATAGGGATGCTAGGGGGAAGCTTGATGGGAAAGCTACTGAAGACGAAGAGGCTCAATCATCTTCTGAAGTAGGAGGACAGGGAGACGAGACAAGATCGGATGAGCACGTGGTACTAGATTCTCTGTTCGAGCACTTTTACAGTCAACCAAGTGCATCACCAGCTACAACCGCTACAAATTCTCAGACCTTCCTGTTATATGCTCCCACCGCAGAGAAAACACTCACTCCCACTCAGAATGATGATGAGCACACAGATGACGAAGCTGAATATGAACCATCTACCCCGCATAATGATCAACCTGAAGCAACTGCAACGCAAGAAACCCCAGAGGCACAACCAGATCAAGAATACACTGATCCAGATCATTCAATCATAACTCCACTACCTCTACAACATGAGAGAAAGTGGACGAGGGCACATTTGCCAGAACTAATAATTGGTGATCCATCAAAATGAATCAGTACCAGAACCGCTTCAGCCAATGAGTGCTTATATTCATGTTTCCTGAGTCAGAAAGAATCAACAAATATGACTGAAGCATTGGCTGATCCGGATTGGGTGATTGCAATGCAGAAAGAGATGAACCAGTCTGAAAGACTGAAAGTTTGGACACTGGTGCCTATGTCTTATAGAAAAACCATTATTGGCACCAAATGGGTATCCAAGAACAAGAAGGATGAGGACGGTGTGATTATCAGAAACAAGGCCCGCCTGGTAGCAAAAGGTTACAATCAACAAGAAGGAATCGACTACGATGAAACCTTTGCACCAGTGGCGAGGATTGAGGCCATCAGATTATCTCTTGATTATGTTACTCACAAAAGATTCACCGTCTGTCAGATGAATGTAAAGACTGCATCTCTGAATGGAGACCTGAAAGAAGAGGTCTATGTAGCACAACTTGATGGATTCGTAGATCCCGAATGCCCCAAACCCTAGAACAAGATGAATACGATGAACTGGCCAATAAAAAAACATCATGGAAGAAATGATCATGTTAAGCTATGCTATGCCGATCAAGCTCATCTCCCAGGTCAAACCCGACAAACTACCACGACCATGGAGGACTCTGATGGCAACCTTGAACAAGTGCTGCATTGCCAAACACAATAGCTTCGACATGTGTATCATCTATCTTCTGACTGCCTTCCATGGTGTGGCATTCAACAAAAACGACGATTTTGTCTCGCTGATCTGGGACGACATCAGGAGGAAGAAAAACATCGATCCATTCAAACATCTACCATATATGAGATGGTTTTCTATGCTGATGCGACGTGTCTCTAGAACAACTCCAACTATCCACCAAAGACTATCTACTGAGATTCTGAGAGCGTCAGCACTCCATTCCTCAAGTACATTCAAATGGTGACTGAGGATCCTACACTCTTACCATTCACCAGACTTGTGTCTCTGCTGCAGCTAGCTAATCTGAATGATCCATCTGTCTGACGCTACTGCTAGAAGAACAATATCATACTCCCTATGGCTCAGATAAACCCCCCTGAGCCTACCCCGGGGAGTCAGCCGAGAGATAGTGAGGGTCGTGAGAGTTCTACCCAGCCACAAATACCAGTGGCAAGTCGGCCCCATGATGATCAGACTACGTCTGCTGAGGGCCAACCCCAAGTTGCTGAGGAGATTTCCCATGATTCGCCAAGCGTAGCCAGAACAATAAACGCTGACGATGAGGGCTCCGGTAGCAAGGCTAACAAGCGTAACAAAGTCAACAAGGATGATGAGGTTAATGATGATGCGGATGACAACACTAATCAAATCAGGGAGCCTCTGGTACAAAAACGCCGACTCATTATCAGGCTCCCCACAACAGCAGAAAGAGAGGTGTCTTACTCGCGGAGGAACAAAGAAGAAATCATTATAAGTGCGACGCGCTCCAAGCATCAAAATGACATCCTTTCCTCATCATGCACTCCTACATAGAGGACACGGGACGTAAGCAATCTGGCAAAAGAAATAGCCCTGTCTGACGAGTGTACAAACCTAGATGTAGTAAACCGGACTGACCCCATAGGAGCAGAAGCTGACTTTCTCAGCTTCCGAGTAGAAGACGCAGCATCTTGTCCAACTGCGCATGCACAAGCCACACCTAGCCACTCTGCTGCCTCCCAACAGGTAGTAGTTTCACAAATAGGGGATCTTATACCCACCTCTCTGCCCCCTTACGGAGCAGTTAAGGATGTACATAGTGGTCTATCGCCCCGGGCCACTACCCTTTCTTCTATCACATTGAGTCTAGGTGTCACACTCCCTACATTTTCAACTTTTCTAGGACACATACACTCCTCACACAACCACATCTACAGGTCCACTTTACCTGTCATCAACGATCGGAGATAAGTCGATGATGATCGGAAGTCCTGCTGCTCAACAGATAACTCAATCATTATCTGCAGGCCACACATCGGTAATTTTTACTGATGTTGTGACAACGGTTACTACCCCTGTAACCGGAAACCCTGACCCTACCGACCTTTTAGTCATTTTGCAGCGTTTCATGGATTCCACCATTAAGCCATGGGTGCACGAAGCAATAACCGCTCGGGCACAGGAATTCACGAACACCCCGGCGCTGTTTAACGACATCATCCAACCTCAACCATCATCCTCACACTCTCAACAAAAACAACTTACCCCTTTCCTTACACGTCAAAATTCTGAACCCTCCACCACACAACCTATAACTCCTACCACCTCAAGGGGAACCCAGGATACAAAACTAGTGTCCTCCCCTATATCGACCACACCCTACCCTAATCCACACACTATGGTTTTCGAGGAACTCCAATCTATTATGCTTGCAAGAAACCGACAGCACATGCAGTGACAGTCTCCGCGGTCACAAACGTTCGCATGAGGACCCTGATGATTCAGATCCTCATGAGGGGGAGAACAAGAGGTAGCGGACACTTGAGCATGTTGCGTCAACTAGCCAACAACCACAACCTGAATCCTCTAACAACCAACAACCCCAATCATCTAGCCAACCCAAAAGCCATACCACTCAGGAGGTTGAGCTGCGTGAAATACGGATAAATGCAAGGTTTCTCTCAAGGATGCACATTTTTTAAGGGGGGTTCTATTTTCTCCTCCCGGTGACGAACAATGACAAAGCATACCGAGTGCTCCAGTTGAGGGGGAGCACAGAGAGAAAATAAACAAGATCAATGAGAGACAAGTCCCAATGGCTTAGTAAACCCAACTAAGCCTACCCAAGGGACAAACTTGAGAGTGAGTGAATGAGTGAATATTATGAGAGTGAGGAAGCAGAAGGCTCCGATGAGCAAGAAGACAATAATCAATGACAAATCTGCTACCTCAAATGAGCTATCAATCGAGGAATCAATCCCAGTCACTCAAATACTCCGGACAATCCCCATAGGTTCAGGACTGAATTTATTCAGATCCCGGGTAGAAGTCGCTGCATTTTGTCCAAACAGCGCGTGCACAACCCTACCCTAGACCACTCACCTGTCTCCCAACAGACAGGTGTTTAATCAATGTTCACGGGGAATCTCATCTCTTATCACCGTCTCCTTCTGAGGCGACTGATACTACAGTGGCCCTCATCCCCATGCCACTGAACTTTCATTGATCACGTTGTGTCTAGTTATCTCACTCCTAAATGTTTTGAATTTTCTAGGACACAGACACATTTTTATAGTCAGTTGCAGGTCCAAGTGACCATGCGAGAACTTTCATAGGCTCATCTTCTATAGATGCAGACCGATGATTAGAAGGAAGTCCTGATGTTGCAACATAGAAATCACCAACATTTTCAGGCCATCATTTAGAGTTCGTCTCTATAGTGATGATAACGGGTGTCTACACGACCCCGGGGGGCTAGAATTATCCATGCTGATCCTAGTGATCATGCCATAACGACCAGAGTGACATCTACCTCAGATGTTTCACAATGATTGGTTGGAAGTCCTGTTAGAGCTACAACGTTTCTATCATTATATACAGGCCACACATCAGTGTTTACATTGATGTTGTGTTAACGGAACACCCCAATGTCTCCGATTCTTATCTTTTAATTTTTCTTCCAATTTCTTTTTCCAGAATAAAAGAATAAAGGCATGACATCTCGATTCATGGGATCGTCATGAGAGGGAGAGTGGTTCACATGCTGCCTACACTCAAAAATCATTCTCGGACACTTCTCTCCTCCAACCCAAAAACGATGGCTCTCTACTCCTTCAGATTCATCAACTGCCAAGTCAGCTTCAAATCTAAAGGTCAGCCCTGCTCACAAGCCAACCATCATTTTCCGCTGTGCCACCGACAAATGCTCCTCAAAAGCATTCACAACTGAATAGTCAGAAAAGGCTACATTCTGAAGGATACAGAGGTCGGGTGATCAAATACTGAAGACGAATCCCTTATGCGCCTAGATTTCTTCAGAACAATCATTCTAAAGGCGCCATCGGATTCATTCAAGCTGATCAACAGAAACTTCTGAAAGGCAAGGATTAAAAGCAAGATTTTGAAGAATCCATCAACCCCGACATCAAAGAACGAATTGAATGAATAACACCAAAGGGGAGATTGTAAGGATTTCTTCATGAAGCATTTCCAAGAAGACAAAAGAAGCTGAACTGAAAGAATTTGATCGACTAAAGGCGGTGCTAGATGCAATCAACACTCGACTCGAAAAGAGGAGAATGATGCGCCAATATGAACATGCTCTAGCACTGCAAAGCAACTACTACAAGAGGCAGAAGAACCCACAAGAGCCAACAACGGACATCTTATCACAAAGGGGGAGAATGTTAGAGATATTTTTAGTGTTGTGATCAATGTATTTTATCTAGCCTCTTGGTAGTATTTATTGTGTATTTAATAGGCCTTAAATGGAAAAGGCTACTAAGCTAAATTAGGAATGGGCCTCCTAAAAAGGAGAGCCCATATCATTGTAAAACCTACCATTCTAAGGAGGCTATAAATAGACCCCTTAGGAATGGCTAGGTTAAGCTTTCCTCCCTTAGAAAAATTCCCTGCGCATAGAATAGAGCCTACGGAAGTTTTACGCTACATGTTCTTCATCTTTATGTAAACTTTCTGGCTATCAATGGAAAGCTTCTTCTACTCCTATTAATCAGATCTTATACATTATAGAGTAGAAATTGGGACCAACACAAGATTCACATGTTAAACAACATTTTCAAAAGTAAAATCCCTCTCCAACCGACTAAAATGTAAAGAAAAGCATGATGGTCCCAACGGTGTAGGTGTGTGAAATTCAAACCACCAATCATTCCAAAAACCCAAGAGTTGTGTGATAAAACTGGTATACTCGTGATTCTTTTTTTTTTTAATATATAAAGTTGACCAGGTTCTGGATTGCAGGACTGATTCAAGCTCTAGGGCCTGGGAGTTTATCTCATTACTGTGTACTCAACTCTCACACAAGGTGATTCGCGAGATGAGCAGAGCCCCATTTCGGGGATGAAATTCTCGACACACGAAGTGTAACCCCATTACAAGAATCAGTTACCTACTTAGCATGAAGTTATCCCGATATGCTTAGAAAGCAGAGCTCCTTACGGAGTAAGGATTTTCAACACCTGGCCAGTCAAGGAATTATTAGTGCGAACTAGTGAATCACGAGTAAAAACCGAATTTAATCAACACAAATCAAACCATCCAACATGCCAACATTTCCCAAGAATATACACACCACTCCGATGATTACACCATTACTAATTCATTCCAAGAAAGATGGAGGAGATGGAAGATTACAAAAGAAAATAAAGATTAACAAGTTACCTCTGTTGCGTTGCTAAACCAGAAAAATCCTCGTGCACTCCAAAATGTTTTTGGGCAGAATAACTTCATCACCAAATGTCATGTCCAAGCTAAAACCAAACCTCCCCACACTTAGGGGTGACATCGCCCTCGAGGTCAAAGAAAAGATTAATACAGAAATAATAGGGGCAAGTTAAGAATAAAATGATTTTCATCCCGGCAGCACATCATAGTCACAATAATAACAATCAACACAAATCAACAAAGGAGTAATATGAGAGTAAACACACATTCTTAGCAGTGTAGTAAGAGTTGGCAGATTACCGTACAAGCCAAACGTTGATGAATACACTCCAAAATAACTTCAAATCTCTGCATCAAATAGCTCCTCGATTGCTTACATGCCGCTGAATCCTGCACACAGTTTGCCCCGTAATGCTACTTGAAGTCCTTCAATCTTGAGAGTAAGTGTAGTAACAGCTGCCATGTCTAGGAACTGCGCATTCTGATGACTTGATGAATACTGAGGCTGACTAGTTCATTCATGGGAGAAGAGAACAGGTCAAGGTAATGACCCACGACCTAACTTGATGTGTGAACTGCTGCCTGGTGGATTAGCTCGCGTTCTGGCTACTACCATGGAGGTTTACTCCTCATGATGAAGTGGAGTCCCTAATGTTAAGTCAGCCTGGTCCAGTGTCTGCTCAAGCTAAAAGAAGCATGAAACTATGCCTCCTACGTAGCATTAATTCCCAGAATATACCCTGCTCAAAGCTTGTTTTTCTTGGAAACAGAAGTTGATGTGAAGTCGTCCGCACCTACACCCAGTTAAAGAACCAAAGTGTCAACATGAATCTGCCAGCAAAGTCTTGTACCAGCAAAGGGGATTATACTGTCAATCAGCTGATTTAGTCCTCATATTCAGCATATGGTGCCATCCGAAAACTGCATCAATTAGTTAATATCTGCCAGCGACCCCATTTCCTGAGCAAGTGTAAGTCTAGCATTCGAATCCAGCTCATATATCGCTCCTGGGGCTGCTATGAAGTGAACTGCAGTTAGTAGCCATGAGGAGCCCCTCTACACATGCCTGCGCTTCTTCTAATCCACAATCAGTCCATGGTGTCCCTTCCATATCTGCAACTCAAGAAAAGAAATGTACCCGCACAACCACACGATGACAACAACAAAAAATGCATAAAAAATTAATTCCTAATTCTATTTTTTTTTCTTTTCTTTTTCTTTTTTTTTTTTTTGGGGGTGGGTTGCCTCCCAGAAGCGCTTCTTTAACGTCACTAGCTTGACGACAGATCATGCTTAGCCGCTAATCTCCTTAAGATAAAGAACCTCCCTTTCAGTGCTCACTTTCTCACCATAATAGAGCTTCAATTGATGACCATTAACCTTAAAGTTTCCCTTTTCAGGATCATGCAACTCAATGGTGCCATACGGATAGGTCTCAGTCACTATAAATGGCCCTGACCATCTGGAACGCAGTTTCCCAGGGAACAACTTCAACCTAGAATTATACAGCAGCACCTGATCTCCAACTCTAAACTCGCGGGATTGCTTGATGTGCCTATCATGATATTGCTTCACTCGCTCCTTATACAAATGGTTGTTGTGGAAGGCCATAGCACGCCACTCTTCAAGCTCATTCAGCTGATAAAATCTCTCCTTTCCAGCCCCTTCAAGGTCAAATACAACATTCTTCAGAGCCCAAAATGCCTTATGCTCGACCTCCACTGGAAGATGGCATGATTTTCCATAAACCAACCTGAATGGTGTGGCGCCAACAGGAGTTTTATATGCTGTTCGAATAGCCCACAAAGCATCATCAAGCTTTTCAGCCCAGTCCTTTCTTGACCGACCAACTGTCTTTTCCAATACTGCCTTGATTTCTCTATTTGAATTTTCAACCTGGCCCTGAGACTGGGGATGGTAGGCCACTCTGCTTCTGTGCTGAACACCATATCGCTGAAGGATACGGGCCATAGGGTCACTTCTGAAATGGCTGCCCCTATCACTGATCAAGATTCTAGGAACACCAAATCGTGCAAATAACTTCTTTAAGAATCGGACAACCACCTTTGTGTCATTCGTGGAACATGCTTGGGCCTCCACCCACTTGGACACATAATCAACAGCAACTATTATGAACTTGTTCCCTTTCGAACTCGGGAAAGGGCCCATGAAATCAATTCCCCACACATCGAACACTTCGCATGGCAAAATATAGTGTTGTGGCATCTCATCCCTCCGGGATATGTTCCCAGTCCTCTGGCACTGATCACAAGCTGAAGCATAAGTATGAGCATCCTTAAAAATGGTGGGCCAATAGAATCCACAATCAAGAACTTTCCTGGCAGTCCTCTCTCCTGAGAAGTGACCTCCTGTGGGTCCAGTATGACAATGCATTAGAATGTCCTTTCCTTCTTGTTCAGGTACACATCTTCTCACAACTTGGTCAGCACAAATTTTGAATAGGTATGGATCATCCCAGAAGTAATGCTTGGCTTCAGACTTCAATCTCTTAATCATGTGGCGAGACATCCCGGCAGGTTCAACCTTGCCCACAAGAAAGTTAGCAAGATCTGCATACCAAGGCATCTTTGAACCGTGTTGAATGGCTAGAAGCCTCTCATCTGGAAAAGTCTCTTCAAGCTCAAACTTTTTGAATGTCTCCACCACTTCAGTCTCTAGTCTAGATAGATGATCTGCTGCTTGGTTAGCGGTCCCCTTTCGGTCCTTGATCTCCACATAGAATTCCTGCAACAAAAGAATCCAGCGGAGAAGCCTAGGCCTTGCATCATTCTTCTGAAGTAAATACCTCAAAGCCGCATGGTCAGTGAAGACAATTACCTTAGAAAGAATGATGTAGGGTCTAAATTTCTCCAAAGCAAACACAATAGCCAAAAACTCTTTTTCAGTAGTGGTATAATTGAGCTGAGGCCCCGCTAAAGTCTTACTGGCATAGTAGATAGGGCGAAAGTGCTTATCCTTGGTTTGACCCAGGATAGCCCCAACCACTTGATCGCTAGCATCACACATTATCTCGAAAGGTAAAGACCAATCGGGTGTAGCAAGAATGGGAGCCTCAGTCAATTTCCTTTTCAAAGTATCAAAAGCAACAACACAATCAGGTGAAAAATCAAAAGGTACATCTTTCCCTAAAAGATTAGTCAAAGGTCGGGCAATCTTAGAGAAATCCTGTATGAACCGGCGGTAAAAGCCAGCGTGCCCAAGAAAGCTACGAATGGCTTTTACTGTGGTTGGATACGGAAGTTTCTCTATTGCCGCAACCTTCGCCTTATCAACCTCAATTCCCTTTTCAGAAACCTTATGCCCTAAAACAATACCCTCCCTGACCATAAAGTGGCATTTCTCCCAACTTAAGGCCAAGTGGGTCTCCTCACATCTAGCAAGCACCCTGTCAAGGTTAGCTAAGCAAGAGTCAAAAGTATCACCGAACACAGAAAAATCATCCATAAATACTTCCATGAAATCTCCAATAAACCTGTCAAAAATGGCTAGCATACAACGCATAAATGTAGCAGGAGCATTACACAAACCGAAGGGCATCCTACGGAAAGCAAAAGTGACAAAGGGACAAGTAAAGGTGGTCTTCTCCTGATCTCTAGGGTCTACATGAATCTGAAAGTACCCACTCATCCCATCTAAGAAACAATAATACCCGTGCCCTGCTAAATTCTCAACTAACTGATCAATAAATGGCAAAGGGAAGTGGTCTTTCAGGGTGGCATCATTTAGTTTTCGGTAATCAATCACCATCCGCCACCCTGACACAATGCGAGTAGGTATTAACTCCCCTTTGTCATTCTCAACAGCAGTCATTCCCCCTTTCTTAGGGACCATATGAATAGGACTCACCCAACTACTATCAGAAATTGGGTATATAATGTCTGCATCTAAAAGCCTCAAAATCTCGGTTCTCACAACCTCCATCAAATTAGGGTTCAACCTGCGCAGTGGTTGCACTGTCGGGCTGAACCCTTCCTCAATGCTAATCCTATGTGTGCAAAAGGTAGGATCGATCCCCTTAATATCCCCTAGCGTGCGGGCAATGACCCCTTCACGCCGCCTAAGCAAGGACACAACCTTATCTTTTTCATCTCTCTCTAAATCAGAAGCAATGATAATGGGGTGTTTGCCCTCATCATCCAATGAAGCGTACTGTAGGTGTTCTGGGAGCCTTTTGAGCTCAGAAAACTGCTCAGATGAGGGTGTATCAACAACAATATTACCTATAACCTCTTCAGAGGCTTCTCCTAGCAAATCATCAACAGAGCATTTAAGTTCATGAGATAACATTTCATCATCACACATACCCACATTTAAGACCTCACCACATGCAGTATCATCAGAACAATTACTCTCACCCTGGCCCCCAAATAAATAATCCTCAATACACTCATACATATGAAGAAAATTACAGCTCTCAGTTTGTGCCTCGGGGTGGTTCATAACTTCTGAGAGTCGAAAAGTACAAGTGTCCTCTCCAATTCTCAGAATCAGTGAACCATCAGACACATCAATAATAGCACGGGCAGTGGCCAAGAATGGCCGCCCCAAAATAAGAGGGGTTCCACGATCCTCCTCTATATCCATAACGACAAAATCTACAGGAAAAATAAACTCACCAACCCTGACTAGGACATCCTCAATAATACCACTTGGGTACTTAATAGAGCGATCAGCTAATTGAAGACACATCCTAGTGGGTTTCATTCCACCCAGTCCCAACTTATCAACAAGAGAAGCCGACATCAAGTTGATGTTGGCTCCTAGATCAGCTAGTGCATTTTTAAAAACATAATCATGAATAGAACAAGGTATAATGAAAGAACCTGGATCCTTGAGCTTTTCCGGCATCATCTTTGTCACCACAGCTGAGCACTCTGCATTTAGGTCAACCACAGAGTACTCCTCTAGCCTCTTTTTGTTGGTGATTAAGTCCTTCAAGAACCTTGCATATTTAGGCATCTCCGCAAGTACTTCTGTGAGTGGCATCTCCACATGTAGTTTGCTAATCATCTCCATAAACTTGTATTCTCTCTTGCGGTCCTCGCCCTTCTTGACACGAGCAGGGAATGGAACAACTGGTGCATTAGCCCTCTTGGCCTCTTGTTGAAGTGTATTCGGCTCGATGATTGCCTTGCCCTCTCTCTGTCCTAGCTGTTCAGAATTGAACTCTAGTTCATCTTCAGATTGTCTTTGAATAGGTTTTGGGACATTGACTGGCTCTGCACTCTTTCCTGGACAGCTAGGAACATTCTTGGCTTGGCTCTTCTTCGCATCCACCATTGGTTCAGGAACTTGCTTCCCGCTGCGCAGATTTATTGCATTCACATGCTCTCTTGGGTTTGGCTCTGTAGTGCTGGGAAGGTTTCCAGACTGTCTCCCCGAAGGACCTCCAAAGAATCTGTTCTCTAGTTCCCGCATACGCTGCTCATGTTGCAGCTCAAGGTTCCTCAACCGCTGCTCCATCAATATCTTTTCCTCTCTTGCCCTTTTATCTCTTAATTCATTTTCTTCTCTAGCCCGTGTCAGCTCTGCAAGCACCAAATCTAGTTGGGAATGAGCTGAATTATCTTGTTGTCTGATATGTGGGGGCACATAAGGCTGGTTGCTGCCACTTCCTTGGCCTCGTTGGTACCCACCTTGGCGGTTATTATCTCTCCACTGGTTTGCACCACTCTGAAAATTATTCCTCTGGTTGTTGTAGCCAGCAAAGTTACCCCGGTTTCCTTGGTATTGAGGTGCTAGTGGACCCTCTCCTTTCTTAGCATACTCCATAAGATTTACTTCTTGAGGTGAAATGGGCTCTCCAAAGAATTGAGGACATGAATTGGTCAGGTGGGCTCCGAAACAATGATCACACGAAAGCACCATGTCTCTCACTGGATTCTGGTTTGGCATTGGTCGAACACTCCTCTGGTTCATCCCCTGGCCACCTTGGTATTGGTTCTGCGCCTGAGCTTCATAGAGTTTCTCAAACTTTAGGACAAGAGCATCCAGTTTTGCGGCAGCAGCTGTACTAGAATCAACCTCATATAATCCTGCCTTCTGTGGCGCTCTTTCACTTCGCTCATCATACCAGTACCTCTCATTTGAGGTAATAGTCTCTATCAGTTCTTCACCTTCTCCTGATGTTAGCCTTAGGATTGAACCTGTTTTAGAAGAGTAATCCAACTCCTTTTTGCTCTCAATGGACAGCCCATTGTAGAAGTGAAATATGGTGTCCATGCTCTCCATGATGTTGGATGGACAGTTAATTCGGAGCTCCTTGTACCGCTCCCATGCCTTACTCAATGTCTCGCTCCTCCCTTGTCTAAAGTTCTGGAGAGCTGCCTTGGCTTTGATTCCTGCGGATGCTGGGCAGTACTGTTTCATGAAAGCTTGGTATAATTCATCCCAGGTGGCAAAAGTGTGGCTATCGAGCCAGTGTTGCGCCTTGTCCCTTAGAGTGAATGGGAACAAAAGTAGTTTGTTAGCTGCTTCAGAAACTCCATTGATTCGGGAAGTCCGACAGAGACGGTTGAACCAACGCATATGTGTCTGGGCGTCTTCATGTCTCATCCCTCCGGACTGGTTACTCTGGGCTAGATTGATTAATCCGGGAGATAGTTGGTAATTTGCAGCTTCAATGCCCGGCATGGTTATTCCATCAACCTCTGCAAATTGCGGAGTAATTTGTTCATACATTGTCCTCCTTGCGGGCTGTTGTTCTCCGGCCATGTTTCTTGACCTTCCTTTTCTTCTTCTCAAAATACTCTCGGGTTTGGATTCAATGGGATCAAGCCTTCAGTTCCCCGAGCACGTGTGTGCATACACCGGTTCCTGCAGCTTAGTTCACGTGCAAAAAAAATACCAAAAACAACAAACAAATAACAGGAAAAAAAATAGAAAGTCTCACCGACTTGCTTTTACCTATTCCACAGAAAAGTACTTAACAAACAACCGTGCCACTCCCCGGCAACGGCGCCATTTGATCGGTGTATTTTTTTAGTGAGTTAAAACGTAGTTGGCTAATCCGAAGAATAACCAGACCACGAGTATCGTCTCTCAAGGAGTGGCAAAAAGGAAGTTTTAAATACAGTCCGTGATCACAGGCTAGCACAAGTCATGGTAATCTTTCCAAATAATTATTTTTGGGTGATAAAATAAAATAAAAAAACTAACTAACAACGAGTGCAAAAATAAGTAGAGGAAGAAAAATTAAATTAAATTGATTCTAGATAGTAAAACAGGGTTCAAATTGGATGGTTCGGGTTCTGGGTGTTTTTTCGGGATTGGAATTAAGTAAATTAACTTTCAATTATTCCTGGAAAGAAAATGAAATAAATTCTCATAGACAAGATTTAAATCAATATTTCACAATCCTAACTTATTTCTAAGGTCAGATTGCTTGTATAAGACCTGAGCTAATTTAACTCAATTTCTCATAGACAAGAATTGAATTAAATCCAGAAATTCATATATGAGGTGATCAAATTCATATAGACAATTATGATTAATCTTATACAATTATCCAGAAAATTAATTGATAAAAAAAACTAAATTCACACCCTCAAGAACCCATGAACCCTAGCCCCAATTCAAACCCTATATGAAATTAGCTATTCATGATTAAAATTAACATCACAATAAACATATGTGGAGCTAGAAACAAAAAACTGGATTACGAGTATTTAATAGTAAAAAAAACTGAAATTACTAGATGGAGACTACCAATTCAAAATTCAATCCAAAACAGAAAACAAGTAATGTAAAATATGCAGGAACTTACAATCATTACTTAGAATGTAAATTGAATTGAAAGAATTGAGGGAAAATGACGTTTAGGCATTCCTGGTCTCTTGCTTTCTGCTGCGGCTGATTGTCAAAGAAAAGGAAGAAAAGTTGCTTCTTGGTCTCTAACTTCTGCTTGCTGCGATTGGTTCAGAAACAAACAGAAAGAATTCCTTCCCTGTGGCTGCTTGTAACTAAAATGAACAGAGAAGAAAACCTGGTGCAGCTAATCTGGTGTGCTTCGAATGAATAGAATTGATCTGCGGCAAGGTGAGAAGGAAGGAAAAAAAAACGAAGTCCTCAGCTGGGGTTAATTTTTGAAGTGAAAAGAATGGATGAACCTCCTTGGTTTGGGCTGCTTTTCTCTCTTTTTGGACTGCTGAAAGTTGTTGCAGTTTTTTTTTTCTCTTTGGGCTGTTTGCCAAATAAATCTTAACAAGATGTCAAAATGCCCGATCCAAATAAAATGTGTTATTCACAACAAATTCGGCCTATAAAATCACAACTCACCACAACCGCTAATCATATGCATTTTTACAATCAAATTACTCCAAAAATATCAAATTGTGTGGAAAACTACTAAACTGAAAATGAATGCCACCGGGACCGAAAAATAACAAATTTTCATTCAAAACCCCCAATAGTCACCCGATTAATTATAAAAATTAGACAATTAACACCCAAAATATGGGTGAAAAGATAGGAACGGAACGAGCCTATCACTAGTCACGGGACATTTCCGTGACTACAGTGTTACCGGAGTACTTCTCCGAACAGTCAAATTAAATTTCGTCACGGACGGTGTCCGTGACTACAGATTCAAAATTCAAATTTTTTAAAATAGTCACGGTCATAATCCGTGACAAATATTTCAAAATTCAAAATTCCGAATTCAAATTTTTAGAGCTCGAATTCAAATTTTTCAAATTAGTCACGGTCAAAATCCGTGACTAGTTATTTTAATTTAAAAAAAATTAATTTGTTTTGAAAAAGAATTCCGGACTAGTTTAGTCACGGAATTAGTCCGTGACTATTTCTTTTTAATTTTTTTAAAAAAATTAATTGTTTTGAAATAGTTTTGAAAAGAATATTTACAATTTATTTTTTAAAAATTGTAATACGTTTTTTAATTATTTTGAAAAACAGAATTCAATGCTACATAAATTCACTCATACACATTAATAGAAAATTGAAAATTCATGCATAAACAATTTAATAGAAAAGAAATCATTCACACACATTTAAATCAAAAAATATATTATTATAGTCATTCATAATAATGAAAATCACTAGGCTCTTGGGGCTGCTCGGGCTCTTCGGGCTCTTCGGGCCGGGTGCCTCCTCGGGTGCCTCCGCGGCTGGCTCCTCCGCGGCTGGCTCCTCCGCGGCTGGATCCTCCGCGGCTGCCTACGGGTGTCTGAAACATGTTGTTCCAAGACTGATCATGAAAGGATCCATAGGAGGGCATGTTAAACCCGGAGTTGGAATGGAAGTTGCCCATTTGCGGAATTTGAGGAGTCATTTCAGGATGTCTCACATACGGCGGAGGCTGATAGGCGGCATTGAACATATTCATTTGCCGTTCCATCATCTCAAGCCGGACTCTTGTTTCTTCATCCTTCTGGCGTTGCTCCTCTAATTGTCGCTGCAATTCGGCAATCTGAGGATCCTCACCACGCCGCGAACGAGGAGAAGAAGCGCCGTCGCGGTTGAGCAAAATCCGTTGGCCTTTGGCACCCAAGCACGGAACCCGACCCTTGTAAACCCCAGCTGCCTCCAGAATCGCCTCATCATCCTCATCAGAAGCGAGGTCATCCTCTTCCATCAAGCCAAGCTCGGCACGCTTATTTTCAACGGTTGAGTGATACTTCGTCTTCATGTACAAGATTAATTCAAGTTAGGAACTTTTTATTTAAAAGATTAAAGAGCACAAGTGTATTTCTTACTTCGATTTCAGCGATGCGAGGGGGAAGGTCGGCTTCCGAATCGTCCCCGCCCTTCGTCCAACAGTGCTTTAACACCTTCAGATACGAGACCCTCTTTTTCTCGGGTCCCGCCTACATGGTTCCAAACGATTTAAAATCCAAAACTAATTGTAAACATGAAGGATTGTTTATATTTATTTTTTGAATTAGAACTTACAAGAGTTTTTTATGCTGAGGAAGAGGTTTGCGGCCCCCATGCCATTGGGTCTCCAAAGCCTTTTCACACATCCGGTTTTTCTTACCGGTTGCGCTTCGTTGCACAAACTTCGGATCCGTGGACCAATGGTTAACAAGGTTGGCCCACACATCATCGGCAATCCATGCGGGCTTCTTCATGTCTTTTCGGTAGCGTTTAAAAGAACTTACCATCCAAGACGAAACTCTTGCATTATACGCTTTAAGGATGGCGGGACCATCCGCTTCAAGCCATCGGTGTTGGGCCTTTATTTAAAAAAAATAAAATTAGTTTATTATTTATCAAATTTTAAGTTACTACATTTAAATCGAGAAAATTCATTTATTTTTACCTTAAACAAGTTCCACCAAAGTTCACGGACCTCGGCATCTACTTCCGTGTAGGAAATCCAAGTACCCCTAAAATGTCCTTTGATGATGGCCTTGATCCGATTTAGGACATCTTGATCACTTTAAAAAATTTGTTATATTTTTTAATAGATTTTGATTAAATTATTTGACATTATACAAAATTATTTGATATTAGAAAAAGTTCATAATTACTTACAAAGCAATCTGCTCAGCTGTCACCCAATGAGCGGTCTCATTATTGCGCTCCGCTGCTGTCTGGGGGGTGTAGTTCGGGCGAGCCCGAGATGTGGATTGTTCATTACTCATCTAAAATTTATTAATTCATATCTTTAAATGTTAGTGTGATTATTATAATAGAACAATGTTTTAAAAAGTTTTATTAATTAAAAATTGTTATGACATATTAAACTATGTTCAAGTTTAATATGGGGGGTGGTAGTTTTTTGAATTTGACTAATGTAACATTGAAATAATACATTTTTGGAGGTAACATGTTAAACTTTTTGGGAAGTTTACATGAGGGGACATATTTTATTTTTATATTATAGGTATTTTGTAGGTATTTTATTTTGGTAAACTTTTTATACATTTTTATATTTTTTATAACTTCATTATATGTAAAAACGGTTTTATGAACAGTTTATAAAAACGGTCTTTTCGGTATACAAATATTTGTTTTATAACAGTTTTTATAAAACGGTTTTTATAAAACAGTTTTTTAAATGAATTTTCAAAAAAACAGTTTCACAAAAAAACTGTTCTTAAAAACCAGTTTTTAAAAAACAGTTTTTTATAAACTGTTTTAAAAAATCAGTTTTATAAATAACATTTTTAATAAACAGATTTTCATAAAAAAGTTTATAAACGGTTTTATAAATCAGTTTTATAAAACTGTTTTATAAAAAAATGTCTTATAAAGATCAGTTTTATAAAAATAGCCATATTTAGACAGTTTATTTTTCTATAAAATAGTTTTATAAAACATTATCCGAAATCACTTTTTTAAAAACAGTTTTTTATAAAACAGTTTTCAAAAATCAGTTTTATAAAAACAGCCATTTTGTAAATATCATTTTTAATAAACAGTTTTTCACAAAAAAGATTATAAACAGTTTTATAAAACAGTTTATAAAAACAGTTTTCTAAAAATCAGTTTTATAAAACTGTTTTATAAAAAACTGTTTTATAAAGATTAGTTTTATAAAAATAGCCATATCTAGACGATTATTTTTCTATAAAACAGTTTTATAAAACATTTTCCGAAATCACTTTTTTAAAACAGTTTTACCATTTTATTTTAAATAATTTTCGGCAAACAGATTAATTAAACATGTTAAACATTTAGTTTAACATGAGGGGAGCAAATTTTTTAGGCATATATATAAACAAAAAACGAATAGTAGCAAACTATAATATAATCATGCATATTAAACCAAAAACGAATAATATAATCATTCATATAAAAACGATTTAACATGCATATTGAAATGATTTAACATACATGTAATATAAAAAAATGATTTAACATGCCTATTGAAACGAATAATACAATCATAGATAAAAAACGAATCATATAATCATTCATATAAAAAAACGATTTAACAAGCATCTTGAAACGATTTAACATACATATACTTTGACAAAAAAATAATATAACATGCATAATGAAACGAATAATTTAATCATACATATAAAAAATGATTTAACATGCATACTAAAACGAATAATATAATCATACATATTGAAGATTAAAATATGCATTTAACTACATACATCATGCATTCGGGTATGTTCGGAAAATAATAACAAAACATGCATGTTTTAACATTTTAAAACAATTAAAATTTAATATTAAAATACGAAAAAAAAAATTTAAGTAGAGACATAACCTTAACCGGCGGTGGAAGGCGGCGGACGGCGGCGGACGGCAAAGAACGGCGGATTTGGAGGCGGCGGACGGCAGAGAACGGCGGCTTTCGAGGCGGCGGCGGCGTTGGAGACAGGAGCGAGTAGGAAGAAGTAGGAAGAAGAAGAGGGAAAGGGAAAGAGGATAGCTAGAGAAGCAACAGGGAAGCGTAAGAGGAAAAAAAAACCTAAGTCCAGCTTATGTATTATTAGACCTGTACAAAACCGGGCCGGCCCGCCCAACCGGCCCGCACAAATGGGCGGGCTTGGGCATATATATTTACCCACCGGCCCGGCCCGAGCCCGGCCCGCAATAACATATGGGCGGGCTTGGGTTAGGGTGTAAGCCCGTTCGGGCCGATAAGCCCGGCCCGCTACATTTAGTGTGTGTGTGTGTATATATATATACACACACACACACTAATTTATTTATTTATTTACATGTACACATGTATATTTATATTTACTAATATAATTTACCTTTATACATATTTATAGTTTATTATATGTAAATTTAAGCTTTTAGTTCTTAACAACTAGCCCAACTAATATGGTATCTATTTTTGTACTTAAAGATAATACTTTTTGCTTGGAATTTAAATTTTAGATATAGTTTCTCATTATTATTTTTATGTAAGTATTATTTTTGTATGTGGCGAAAGGCCTATAAATATTATAAGCGTATTAACAATTTTTTAAATGTTGTCATATTATTTTTAATGTATTAAAAAATTATATAATTTAGAAAAATTTAAACTTTTCCGGGCCGGGAGGCCCGGTGGACTACCCGGCCCGCTCTTACGGGCGGGTATGGACACGGAGTTAGGCCCGTTTTTGTGCAGGTCTATATATTATCTTTTAGTCACGGACTTAGTCACGGACTAGTCCGTGCCTAAACCCTTCGTATACCCGTCAGCCACGCGGAAGGCGAGGTGTCAGAGCCGCCGTTGACCGCGTTAGTCACGGACATATCCGAGACTACATCCGTGACGATGTTTAAATTTTAAATATAGTCATGGATTTAGTCTCGGATATGTCCGTGACTAAAGCGATCAACGGCGGCTCTGACACCGCGCCTCCCGCGTGGCTGACAACGGCTATAATGTTGTTTATTACTCCCTCCGTCCCATTTTGGTTGTCCTACTTTCCCTTTTGGGTTGTCCCAAAATGAATGTTTTGTTTCCTTTTTTGGCATGAAATATGTGGTTCTTATTAATTCACTTTATTCTACTCAAATCTCAACCACAACTTTTACTTTTCAACCACTTTATTAATAATCGTGCCAAATTGAAAGTGGACAACCATTATGGGACGGAGGGAGCAAAATGTTTAATTATTGTAATAAATTTAATAAATAATGATGAGGTGATTATTTTTGAAATTTCACAATTTTCGAAATAATTAATTCAAAATTTTTCAAATTAATACGAAATATTTAATCAATTTTAAAATTTCAAAATTTGAGAAATAATTTAGGATTTTCAATTCACATATAATAATGATGAAGAATAGAAACCAAATATTTGAATTCAAAAAATTGAAATTACAACAACACAATTAATCACTATCAGAATCGTTGTTTTCTATATATACAACATCTTCATCTGTATCAGAACCGTCTACCCATTCTCCTTCTGCCTCATATTGAGCGTTTTGTTGTTCTTCATACATCTGAACAATTTCGCGCTCAGATGGAGGTGTTTGGTCTGGAAGGTGTGTTTCAGGCACGACTTCAACACGCCCGCCATATGGATCACTTAACTGGATGTCATAGTTGACCGTCTCAACAATAGGCGGAGGTTGGAAAAATTGTTGCTGGAAAGCGTCTAAATCAACGTCCTTGTGTTGAGATTGTGATACAATTTTGTTCGGACGGACAGTACATGCACACACCCAAGGATTCTGTGTTTGCCTGGTTGAAGGGTATGGTGCATAGTAAACATGTGCTGCTTGTTGAGCAAGTATAAAAGGTTCGTTTTTCCGATACACGCGAGAGTGGTTGACGTCAATCATATTATACTTTGAATTTTTTCTCACCCCGCGTGTCGGATCGACCCAGTTGCAACGGAACAGAACGCATGTCAGTTTCTGCATACAGAAGGCATTTCAAGTTCGATAATCTCATGCAAGATACCAAAAAAAATTGGTTTCCGAGTTATCATAACCGATGGTTTGCACACATAACCCGCTGTTTGTTGTTTGTCGGTCCTGTCCATAATCGTCTGTGTGATAGGTGTAACCGTTTATGACATAAGACCGCCAAACTTTGACATTGGAACCAGGACCCCATGCTAATGATACTAACAGAGGGTCGTCAATCCCACGGTTAGCGATCTGTAAATTAAAAACATGATAACATTGGGTAATTATTAAAAAATAATTACTTAATAATATATATAATGTGTATATATATACCTGTTGCTGGTACCATCTTGCAAAATCAGCGTCCACCCTTGCATCGATTTCATAATCAGGATATGCTGATATAGAAGCTCTAAATTCACTGTGATACAAGACATCAATATATTATAAATTAACTACCTTAAAGATATATATTACAAATATAACTACCAATTTCACTTACTTATAAAATGGTAGAATTTCTGGACAATTCATTAAGATGTAAGTATGTGCAATTTTGTACTCTTCGCCCAAGATGAAACGGCTAGTCGCAGCTCCTTAACCTCTACCTGGGTAATTGAAAATGGAAACTACATTTTCATACAAATCCTCGCCGATGTCATCGTTCCGGACAAGTCTCTTTCTTCTGGTGATGACTTCTCGCTCAAAGTAAAAAGATGAGAACGTTGAGATTTCTTGTTGAATATATGCGTGACTAATTGAAGCCTCAACGTGTGTCTTGTTGTTCACCTTCTTTTTCAAGTCTCCCAGAAATCTGAAATGTAAAATATAAAGTTGTAAACTAACTATCAAATGTTCGTATGAAAAATAATAATCAAAGATAAAGAAATTGTGACTGACCTTTCAAATCTGTACATCCAACGATAGAAAACGGGCCCAGCAGTCAAAGCCTCGTACGGAAGATGTATTATAAGATGTTCCATTGTATCGAAAAAGGACGGAGGCATTATTTTTTCCAAATTACACATCAGAATGGGAATAGTGTCTTCTAGTCTCCGTAGGGCTGCTGCATCCAAAACGCTGGAACAAATGGACTGAAACAACAAACTGATTTCAGTAATACATGACCAGACGTCTTCCGGGAGCACCTCTTTAAGTGCAATCGGCAGAAGTCTTTGCATGACTACATGAGCATCGTGAGTTTTCATGCTCGCAGTCGTGGTGAGTTTTTTCATGTCCACGCATCTGGACAAGTTGGAGCAGTAGCCATCTGGAAACTTCAGAGACACAAGCCACTGTAATATAGAAGCCTTTTGTGCTTCCGTGATTTGGTAGACTGCTTTTGGGATTTTGTTACCTTCATGTTCTGGATCAACAGAAAGTTCGGGTCTGTCACACCATATTGACATATCTTTTCTAGATGCAAGACCGTCTTTGGTTTTCCCTTTGAAATTCATCACTGTGTTAAATATATTGTCAAAGACGTTCTTCTCAGTGTGCATGACATCTAAATTGTGACGAATGAGAAGGTCTTTCCAGTATGGTAACTCCCAAAATATACTCTTTTTTGTCCACTTATGGGTATCACAATACCCATATGGATCCTCATGGGGCTCTTGCACAGCCGTAGGAATACGTCGAACCCGGTCAAAAATTTGTGAACCAGTCAATCTCGGGGGTGGGGGGTCTCGTACCACTCTACCTCTAATGAAAGACTTTCTGTCCTTTCGGTATCGGTGGACTGCCGGGAGAAACTTGCGGTGACAGTCAAAGTAACTTGGTTTTCTGCTGTAGTTAAGCCAATTCGCACCTGATTTCTCCATGCATATCGGACATCCCATAAGACCGTGTGTGCTCCATCCCGAAAGCATACCATACGCAGGGAAGTCGCTAATGGTCCAAATGATGGCTGCTTTCATGGTGAACATCTGATCTGTTGAAACATCATAAGTTCGTGTCCCAACGGTCCAAAGTTGTTTCATCTCCTCGATAAGGGGTTGGAGATAAATGTCTATCCTTTTTCCAGGATCATTAGGACCCGGACAAATTAAAGTCAAAAAGATGAAATGACTTTGCATGCACATGTCGGGAGGGAGATTGTAAAGAGTTAACATGACTGGCCAACAGGAATAGTTCTTCCCAAACCTTCCAAAAGGAGCAAATCCGTCTGAACACAATCCCAGGCGCACATTTCGTGCTTCCATTGCAAATTGAGGATGGCAACGGTCAAAATGTCTCCAAGCTTCACAGTCTGAAGGGTGAGACATCATACCCTCTTTGGTTTCGTGTTGAACATGCCATGTCATGTGTTTTGCAGTAGCATTTGAAGCATACATTCTTTGAAGTCGTGGACCTATTGGGAGGTAATACAGTTTAGATAATGCAGACCTATTTCGTGATTTTCTTTTACTTTGACGAACAGGTTTGTATCTGTCTCCTCCACAGAACTTGCAGATCTCAAGTGTCTCATCATCCTTCCAGAACAACATACATCCCTTAGGGCACGCATCAATTTCTATGTGAGGAAGCCCCAACTTAGATATTAATTGTTTCATGTTGTAATATGAATCAGGGAGGCTGTGGTCACGCGATAGCATTCCTCCAACTGACTGCAACACTCTAGACATGCAAGTTTCAGGGAGACTGTATTCAGCTTTTATGTTCATGAACTCTGTAACGGCTGACAGCTGAGAGTATCCCTCACAATCAGCATACAGAGGTTGATCAGCAGCTTTTAAAACATCTTGAAATCTCTCAGCTAAATCCTCATCCACATAAGGCTGATAGCCGGACCCGGAGGCTTCAGCAGGATCGTTAAATTGTTGTGGGGGGTTAAACTGAGACGACGGGACACCGTATCCGTCATATACCATTTGTTGATCCCATCTCATTCCAGCATATTCTCCCCACCCACTCATCTGGTCAGGGATGTTACGAGACGCACCCACTGTTTGTGGTAAAAGAGATGGATCATAAGCTTCGCCATGACAAGTCCAATTATAATAATTGGGAGCAAAACCATCCGCGTACAAATCCCACCCAACAGCGTCTTGGTCTTTAAATTGCATATTTTTAAACTTTGAACATGGACATCTGATATTATCACCACTCATATAATCCGGGTGTTCAAGTGCAAATTTAATAAACTCCGCAATTCCATCAAGAAAATTTGTTTTCATTCCGTACAATTCCGCATTTTTATCATACATCCAACTTCTATCTTGCCTATACATTATGCCTGAATATTATAAAAAAAATATATTGGTTAAAAATTACAAATTATAGACATTAACAACAAATGTATAGTAGGAGCATTATTAATATATTCAATTTTACGAAACAATAACTTTCAATTAATAATATTCATTAACTAGAACTAATACGATAATATGATGTCATTAATCATTTAAATCATACACTAATTATATTTACGAAATAAATGTTTATTAAGAGACATATATAATAATTCAAATAATTCACAAAATTAAATGAATTAATTTACGAAATTATTACGAAATTAATAAATTAGTAAATATTTACGAAAATATTTACGAAATTAATAATAAATGTTTACTTTAATTATATTCAATAATTAGTGATTCAATAACACAAATTTAATAACAAATAACGTAATTGTATCCTAATTTATATAACACTAATTTATATAACACTAAATCCTAATTCTAACAAGAAATCATAATTTATAAAATGCAATAAATTACTAAATATTTAACTAATTTACGTAATTCTAACTAAATACAACATCATGCACTAAGTTAACTAATTTTAACTAATTTATTTCGTTAATTAATTAACAAGAAATCATAATTTATAAAATGCAATAAATTACTAAAAATTTAACTAATTTACGTAATTCTAACTAAATATATAACATCATGCACCAAGTTAACTAATGTTATTTAACTAATTTACGTAATTCTAACTAAATACAACATCATGCACTAAGTTAACTAATTTTAACTAATTTTAACTAATTTATTTCGTTAATTAATTAACAAGAAATCATAATTTATAAAATTCAATAAACTACTAAAAATTTAACTAATTTACGTAATTCTAACTAAATATATAAAATCATGCACCAAGTTAACTAATTTTAACTAATTTATTTCGTTAATATAAAATGCAATAAATTACTACAAATTTAACTAATTTACGTAATTCTAACTAAATACAATATCATGCACTAAGTTAACTAATTTTAACTAATTTATTTCGTTACTTAATTAACAACAAATCGTAATTTATAAAATGCAATAAATTACTAAATATTTAACTAATTTACGTAATTCTAACTAAATACAACATCATGCATTAAGTTAACTAATTTGAATTAATTTATTTCGTTAATTAATTAACCACCTTTTTTAAACCTATTTTAAGTAAGTAAAACCTAAAATTTACCTGATATTATCATAAATTTAACTAATTTAGCTAATTAATTCAACTTTATGCTAACTAATTTACCTAATATTAAAAATTAATTCTTAATAAAAAAACATAAGTGAAATGACATACCTTATTTGCATAAACACAGAAAATGACAGAAGATAGACTACATCCGCTTAATCTTTCAGGCAGATACTGTATTATATATATTAGGAATGAGTTGGTGTGATTCAACTGAATGAGTCTGGCCATCCATATATAAAAAAGTTAGTCACGGATTTAGTCACGGATAAATCCGTGACTAACGTTTTCCGTACAAATTAACAGTCCGAATTAAATAAGGACCGTTGGAAAAATAAATTTTCATTTTAGTCACGGCATTAGTCACGGACCTATCCGTGACTAAGTGCCGGAGTATAATAAAATCAACCGGAGAAGGAAGTCCGGTCACTGGAGAACCTTAGTCACGGACCAAGGCCGTGACTACAGTTAGTCACAGATTTAGTCACGGACAAATCCGTGACTAACTTTATTTTTAACAATCCGTGACTAGTCCGTGAGTACAACCGTGACTAATTAGTCACGGACCGGATCCGTGACTAAAATCCGTGACTAAACGCGTGTTTTTTTGTAGTGCTTACTCGGCCGCAGTCACTATCTCCGCCTCCGCCGGCCAAGCTTCAATAGACGGGTAGATCTTCTAGGGAGAAGATTGAAGGAGAAGGAAGCCTTGGGAGAAGATTTGGAATTGACAGAGAAGGGGAGAAGCGAGATGGTCGTGGACCAGTAGACACAGAGAAAGGAAAGAGAAAAAGCAAAAGAAAATGGAAAAGAAAATGAAAATAATAATATAAATAAATGAAAAATAATAAATAAAAAGCCAACTAGACAGACAGTAGGCAAGCAACCGGTTTAACCGGTTGATTACCCACAAAAAGGCTGATTTGGTTAGTTTTTCATACTTCACGGACTTAATTGATCGGTTTAAAAGTGCATGAACTCAATTGACTTTTTGTGGAAAGTACGTGGACTTATTTGACAGTTTTCTCATCTTTAAAAAATGTTTGCTTCCACTTGCATATTTCATTTTCAATTAAAGAAGTAGATAGTTTTATAGCATGTTTGTTATAACTCCTCAATCTACAATGTCTGGTATGTTGCATATTTAGAATGTGATGAATATTTATGGTTCCTTAATTGCATAAATTTGAAAATGATGCACAAGGTAGAATATTCTCCGTATCTATTACTGTGATTACTTGCAGTCTTCTAAGAATACACTTACCTTATAACCTGAATACATGTTTTTTGTCTCAATTGGTTTTGTTTTGTATTAACTAAGGTTTTTCATCAAAGTTCTGACCCTGCAATTAGTTCTCTCAATAATAATTCGGAGTGGCCATTCTCTTTTGCCTATTCATCTAAAAGTATAAGTAGTTTGCCGAGAATATTGTATTGATTGATGAGACGCAATCAGGTCTTAAAGCAAAGTTGGAAGTATGACAACAAACATTGGAAAACAAGGGTTTTAGACTAAGTCGGAGCAAGACAGAGTACATGGAGTGAAGGTTTGGTGGAGGTAGAAGCAATGATAATAGTAGAATTACTCTAGATGGTAAGGAGATACCAGTCAGTGATATGTTCCGTTACTTGGGCTCCATAATTCAGAAGGACGGTGAGCTAGATGGAGATGTATCCCATAGAATCAGAACATGATAGATGAAGTGGAAGAGTGCGTCAGGATTTTTATGTGATAGAGGTATGCCGACTAGACTGAAGGGTAAATTTTATAGGACAACAATTAGGCCTGCATTGCTGTATGGCATAGAGTGTTGGGCGGTGAAACAATGTCACATTCAAAAGATAAGTGTGGCAGAGATGTGCATGATGTGTTGGATGTGTGGGCATACTAGGAAGGACCACGTGAGAAATGAGACAATCAAACAAAGGGTGGGGAGTAGCACCTATTGATCGAAGACAAGATGCGGGAGTCTCGCCTACGGTGGTTTGGTCATGTGTGTAGAAGACCGGGTGATGCACCTGTCAGACGTGTTGAGATGTGTGGAGAAGAGGCAGGAAAGAGAGAGAGAGAGAGAGAGAGAGAGAGAGAGAGAGAGAGAGAGAGAGAGAGAGAGAGAGAGAGAGAGAGAGAGAGAGAGAGAGAGAGAGAGAGAGAGAGAGAGAGAGAGAGGAGAGGAAGACCCAAACAGACGTGGGTTAGGGGAGTCCGAAGTGATATGCTTCTTCTTGGGTTGGATGAGGGTATGACTTTGGAGAGAGCGAAGTGGAGGGCGGGTGTTCGTGTGGAGGAGTGATCTCGTGTTATTATTTCCTCTCATCTTTTTTCTTTTTGTTTTTTATTATTTTATCCTTATATATAAACATTATTTTTATCCTTTTTATCTTATCATTTTTAGGTATATTCATCTTGTGTTATATTATCTTCTTTATAATAGCTTTTTTTAATCTTTACTTTCTTTCTTTTCCTTTTGGTGGTGATATCATGTATCGATTCATGTTAGCCGGCACCAATATCTTTTGGGACTAAGGCTTGGATGTTGTTGCATGTTGTTGTATAGCTAAAAGAAGATGATATATATACAACTCAAAGTTTAAAATTTAAACTTAAAACTGAAAGGAAATACATGATTTTACTTATAGATGTGTATTGTTTGATCCAAAAGTTACCTATCCTGTGAAAAACATTAAGAAAGAAGCGTTAAAATTTAAGTTGGCGGTACTTCCTTACAATTGGGCATGATCTATGCACCCCTAAAGTTTTACTTGATGTTTTCTTTTTTTTCATTTTTTTACTTTTAAGAGCACTTTTAAAAACTGATGTTGTTTAGTGAACCTCATACAAATGAGATATTGTATTGAGTATCAATTATTGATGTGTTGTTGAGTTTGTTCTTACTTCCCTTTTCATTTCAAATAGACAAATATAAATGTGTGACATCCTCAGCTCTCTTGGTTTTCATGTATAGTGAAAGATTAAGCAAAGATCAAATAAGCTTGGGTGTGATTCTGTTACAACTTATAAAAAGAGAAGGTTCATATAAGCAGGTCAACAAAATCGCTTATTTTTCTTTGGTTTGTAATTAATCGTTATAAAATTTAATCCCTTCTTGGCTATTATTGGAAATAAAACCCCTTAATCTACTGCTCCATTATTTCAGTCACGCTTTCCCCTTTTCATCTCTCCGGCCATGAGCCACTACAATGTACAATACTTTTCGCTCTCTATCAGCCAGAAGGATTTATTCACAATCTATGCAGCACACATCATTTTCCACTTTTGTCTCTATTTGTTTAGTTTGGGATTCCAATCATACATTTCGATTTTCACACTTCTCCCTCTTTGTCAGCCAGAATGATTTCTTCACCAGCCCAGTGAATTTACTCACCAATTGTTGAGATGTTGCTTGTTCTCATTTCATAAGCAATTTTTATTAGCTTTCAGAGGATCACTTTCTAATATAAGTTTTTATATCCTCAATAGTTATTTTCAACAGGGTTACAACATACTTTTCATCGCAGCAACTAAGGGTAATTTGACTAAATACTTCCCTCTTCATTCCAGCTTTCTAATTTCTGATCCTAAACCCCGATTATGTTTTCACTCCTCTAAATATGATTTTTTTTTTTCTTTCAGGTTTTGCCTGCCCTTGAACTACTTTCTTTCCTCCAAATATACGTGCATTCACATTAGCTGTGTGATACCACTTAATGAAGTCATCTTTAGCTCCAAGGTATGCTGTCTATTTTTTTCTTAAATGTAGTTTCATTCTATTAAGTCTGGGTGACATAATAACTTTATAATTGAAG